CACGTGTACAACGTTATACGCATGTGTAACACATACAATAATTTATACGGTAAATACTTCTTTTTATGCCTTATGGAAATGCGTCGGATCTATCCCATAAAGCTCCTACCTGGCAGGGACAGCTGGAGAACTGGCCCTTCCAGGAGAGGTGGCATCAGTTTGAGAGAGCAACATTGTGTTGGGGAGATGGGGAAGAAAAAGAAGGGCAAGGAGAGAGTCCTCATGGAGGCGTCGTGCGATCTCCGTGGGCTGTGAGCACACGGGAATGAATTTCACACTCTTTTTCCACGCGTCGTCCTTTGAGACAGCCAACAGCAGATCCCTCTTTTCATTAATGTCTGAAAAACCCGAGTATTCGTCAAGAAATATAATTACTTGAAGTTACTAGCTAATACGTAAGTTGGAGGCTATAACTGGCTAATAAGAAAATACTGAATTTCTTCAGGCCTCTCTGAAGAGCCTCAGATTTATTTACTTTTTCCAGTCGATGCGTATGGTTAATGCACAGCACTGAATAGTTTGGCACGTGCATCAGTGTCATCTTCAACTTTCCATCTTTCAGCATGTACGTTGTTAGTTTATTTTTAATTTTAAAAGTTGGAAGAGAAGTAATAAACTCGCAGGCGGTGTTACTTTTTGATTTCTCTTAACTATATTTTCATTGATTTATTTTTAATTTTTTCTTTCTTTTCCCTCGTTTGGTGCAAAAGATGAAACCCATCACAAACACTTAGGCTGAAATACGTACAAGAGACACAGGGGAGCATCTCTGTGCTTCACATCCTCGTGTGATCGATGAGCTGTGGGGGAGAACAGCCCACACTCGGGAGGACGATTTCTTGCGGTGGTTGCCTGCCTTTCTGGGTATTAGAAGGACTGCTCAAAATAGGGACCAGCCAAATAATTTTGGCTCGAGTGCCCACAGATGGATTTTCAAACTGCCCGACGCTTGTTATGGATGGGGAGAGAAAAAGAGGGGCGTAGGATGCCCTATAAATAACACCCGGGGAAAAGATGCTCGATCGAACCGTCTGCAGTGTGGTAAACACTCGCTTCTGCGGATACGGGGGCAATTTTCCAAGCTGGTCATAAACTGCATTGCTTCAGACAGTTTATAAATATTTGTCTCCAGAATGTGCATGCAAGAGCTTGCAGTTAAAGTGGAGCACAGAGCAAAATAAGGAGCTGCTATTTACAGGGCAAAAATCCTTCCTTGCATCAGAGTGCATATTTTATTTTAAAAAAAAAAAAAAAGCTACAAAACCTTTTTTTCTGTTGGTTGTGCTTGTTTGGTTTTTTTTTTTTCCCCCTCTGACTTGACTTGATTTTCCTTGTAGAGGAAGAATAGCCGGTAGCCTGTGGTTTGTTTGAAGCGAGGTGAGCCCAGCAGCGACACTGACGTTCTCTGGAGCATCCCCTTTGTGGTCTTCCCAGAGCTCATTTCCTTGTTAGGAAAAAAAAACCTGAACACCCCGTACACCACCGTGACGAGGTTCTTGCGTCCTTTGGACAGCTGGAGCTCTTGGCAGCTGTTCTCCTTCCTCCCAGCTTCTGTTGGCAGCAGGAGGCCAAAGGCACAGCGGCAGCATTTGGTGGAGCTCGGCGAAGCTGGTGCCAGGCAGCGGGTCGGGCAGCTTTTTTTTACCCCTCCTTTCTCACACTCGTCCTTAATATGAATCCTTCTGCTGCCTTGTTGGAGGAGATCAGTTGATACAGAGACTTAGGCCTGGCTTCTCATATCCCAGTGTAATCGTTCAGATGAGCGAGTGCTGGGAAGGGGCAGTGGGATATCTGAGGGTGGAGAGAGGAGAGGTGAGTGTGCCTTTGTCTTGGCTGCCCCCTTAGTTTAGTACAGGACCCTTAAAATAACAAACTTCTGGATTTTCAGGCTGTTGCATCCTCCAAGTTTAAGCTTTTGCCGTATCATAGCGGGTAGGGAAGTCATCCTGCGTGTCCTTGCCCTGTGCCGTAGCATCCACTCAAGTTGAGCGGTGCCTTCAAGAAGGTACAAAGTGCTGCCGAGGAGCAGGGGCAGGAGGAGGCTGGTTGCCTGTGTGATTTGTTAAAAACATTGAGATATCGCTGCTGTAACGTGTGCTTTCACACTTGGCTGTCTTCACGCAAATGCGACACGAGCTGACTGGGGCTGGTGTGAGCTAACGAGACTGGGCAGTAAAGTAGGAGTGGAAGCTCCAAAACGTGTGCAGTTGGTGGGTTGTGTTTTTTCTTCCCCGACACTGCCTTAGCTTTCTCTCCTGCTGCTGGGAACAAGCTGCTCTCTGCTGGCGGGGCATAGGGTCACCTCTGGAATACTTATCTGCAAACTGGGCGGCTTGTTTACTCAAACTCAGTTTAAGCATGCCATACTCTTCTTTCTTTAAAAAGAACTGAAAAACAAAACCCAAGCCCAAGTCCAGCCGAATTTTAAAAGACATGACAACTCAAAGAATTATTTCAGGTGATCAAAAAATAATAGAGGATGACACAGCTGAGCTTGGACTGCTTCATACTGATACTTGACTTGTGTAAGTCCCGGTGGTGGTTTTGATGCTAATGTCCCCCCTTCTTATTTTTAGGTCCAGAGCATCATTCGTTCGCAAACCAGCATGGGTATGCGCCACAGAGACCGATCTACAACGGGAAACACCCTGAAAACCGGCTTCAGCTCCGCACTGACGACATACTTCTTTGGGGCGGATCTGAAGGGGAAGCTGACGATCTCCCACTTCCTCGATTTCCAGCGCAAGCTGCAGCACGATATTCTGAAGCTTGAGGTTTGGGTTATTTCGGTGTAAGGGGAAGGGAAGCACGATGTGGACGTGATGTCTGGAGGAAGGGCAAGAGTGTGAGAAGGGTTCAGAGGTCTGTGGCTGTCTTTCTGGGGAAGGTTTGTCTTGCTCCTAATGAGTGAGCTGTGTCCTGAAGGACCAGGGTTTATAACATTCTCCAAACTCTTCCTCTTTGTTTTTCATAGAATTGCTTAGCTTGGAAGAGACCTTTAAGATCGAGTCCCACCGTTAACCTAGTACTGCCAGGCCCACCACTAAACCATGTGCCTAAGCACCCCACCGGCCTGTGTTTTCAATTCCTCCAGGGATGGCAACTCCACCTGTTCCAGTGCTTGACAGCCCTTTCAGTGAAGAAATTTCTCCTAATGTCCAGTCACATTTTTTCCTTGCCTTCTTGCTTGCTTAACTGTTCTGAATGTTTCTGCTATGTAAGTGTTCAAGCCTTGTTGGAATCCTGCTAAATAGGTGATCTCTGTTATGTGACCTCCATTATTCACTCCTGGATTAATTTGCTTTACAAGAAATGTCCATCTCTTACAAGTTGGGGGGTTTTCAGTTGAAGGTCTCCTTTTTTTCTTTGCGTTACTGTGAGTTAACAGCAACTCCCAATCTCTTGCGCCTAGTAGCTTGAGTTTAAGCATCAAGGCTCAAAACTTGGTTCTTTTGAATAAAGTGAGTACAATGGGGCACTCCTTGGGCTGTTTCTCAGCTCCCAAGTGGAGCTGACTCAGAAATGGCACCCTTCTCTGCAGCAGGCTCTGAGGTTCAGCCTGGCTTTTAGTTGCATCAGAGGTGAGGATTTGTGGACAAGAAGATCCCCCCACAGCCATAACCTGACAAAACAGTGGTGTTGGGAGTTCACTACCGCTTCAGTCGGACGTACGAATGTCCGTGTGCTCGGGTTGCGTGATCCGGCTAACAAACGGCATTTTATTACTATAAACTCAGTCACTGAGAACTGACCCGAGGACTAATTTCTTTTTTTATGAAGGTGATTGTCCAGTTCACTGACTTCATTCCACTGGTCATTAAAGTGGGTGGTGTGGCCCTGCATTTGCAGGGAGAGTAGGCTGGTTGAAGACATTTTCTCTGAACTGGAAAGTGTCGGTTCCTCAGTGCCTCTGCAGACTGAAATGAATCAAATACTTTATGAGGTTAGGAAACACAAGCTGGAACTTGCAGGCAAAGGGAAGAGAAGCTGGGATAATTCTATCCTTGTTTGTTGTCCTGCCCTGGTTTCCCATTGCCGGGGTCAGACAACGAAGAGGAGCTGAAATATTTCTGACGCTGTGCTCCAATCCTGTGCTCCCTCCGTGGGTCCCCACTTCTTGAGAAGCAATAGTTATTTTTCAGTTTCATGGTACTTGTTCTTCTTTTCCCCCTGCAAGCTTCACATTATTTAGTTTTTAGTTATTTCAGTCAGTTGTGCATCTTCCTGGTGAATGTTAGTTGCCTTTCAGACAAGTTCGTTGTTAATTGGGGACAGTACAAGATATTTATGTCTCCATAAGCTAATGAATATCATAAAAAGCGTCGTTACTGAGTTCCTGACAGCACCCATGAGCACAGTACGATGCTGTGCTTGGCGTTTTTGATACTTGTTTTAACCAAAAAAATGACCTATGCAGAGGTAACAGTTCTGCCCTGCCAAACTTAATTTTTTCCTGAGTTCATGATACTTAAGTACTTGGCTTTTTTTTGTTCATATTTCTCATTGATTTAGGCAGTACAGGCCTATTTCTGTCCTCAGCGTTATGCAACATGGCCTCTCTCCTCTTCTGCTTTTATCTCTTGTGACATGATCTCCAACCTCTTCTCCTTGCTTCACTTTTGATATGTTCACAGTTAAGTGGCTTTTCACACAAGTATCTGGTGGCTTTGCGTCGCTCCTTTTCCAGGGAGCGCTCTAATTAACTCAGCCACTTAAAAACCGTGATAATTCAGAGAAGAGGCGTCCCTCAAGTGTTTACCTCGACCCGTGCAAAGCAGGAGAACGTGACAAGTGGCACTTCTGTACTGCAGAGCATCATGTATCTCATGCCGCTGATTTTTAGCGGCTTCCCTGGATTTGTGTGTCTGTTTGGGTTCATGAGCCTGTGAGCGCAGCGGTCCTGCGTCAGCCTCGTGCTCGGCTGCCCGTGCAGGTCGTCTCTGAATCCTTCTCTGGGCATGGCTGGTGTTAGCGGTGGACAAGAAGGAGGAGGAAAATGCTGGTGGCAGATCTGCCAGGGGCTCAGCTGAACTCTCGAACCCTCATCTCCTTACTTTCTGCTGGCTTAGCAAAAATCAATACGTGGCCTGAAGCTGGGATGTTCATTTGAAAACCAGTTTTTGTCCATGTTCAGTGTCTGAACTCCAGAGAAGGCTTCGGGAAGTGCTCTGTGAGCAGGTCTGAAGAATATCTCCTCGGGCTGGTGCAGCTCCCGAGTGACATGATGCCTCTATTTTCAAACTGGCATGCTTGCTTTCGCATTTCCAAAAGAAATCTGCTTTAAATAAGAACTTTTTCAAAGCTCTTTTCCCTTTGCCTCAGGATCCAGGCCTATCTGCGGCTAACACACTTGAGAGCTGGTTCCTTCTGCTGACTGTGAAGGTGGAACAATAGTTTCTGACCATCTGAACCCTGTCCTCTAACTGATTTTTTTGCTTCATTTTTTTTTTCTTATCAAAATATTCATGCGTATTTCTTGTTAAGATTGAGCAGAAGCTGTCTCAGGAGAATTAGATCAGACAAAGCCCTGAACATTGAGACGTTCCTTATAGCCGAAGTGCTGACAGCATGTTTAAGTAACTGTGGCCCGGTGCTTTCTTCTTCCTCGCTGCTTATTTTTTTTGCTGCAAGTACATTTTCCATCGCTTTATGGCAACTCAGCGATCGGCTCAGTTGCAGGAAGGTAAGGATGAGAGGAATAACTGCAGCCAGAGGGAGAGGAGAAGCTTTTAATGGCTTTTTACAACTTTTTGTGGTTTGACTACTTGGAGGAAGCCGCGGCCTCCTTGTTGGGTTGTGGGGTGGCCCAGATTAGCTGAGGCTGAGCCTTGGGAAGTAACCCCGGCGAATGGAGCAGGCTCCTGACCAAATCCTTCTCGTTTTCTTACCGCCTGTGGAAAAGACTTCCTTAGCGTGACAAGCAGTGACAAGTTAGTCTGGACAGGCTCTACAGCAATAATGTGTCCTGTAAGGACAGGCAGCGTTGAGTTTGAATGGTGCTTTCTTTATTACTCAAGTGGAAGTTGGGAAGATGGATAGGACTTGACATCATCGGGCGTGCTATTTCTGCATGTTAGTGTCTGTCCTAGATGTTTCCTTGTCCTCGGGGTACTAAGAGGAGTCCCAGCCAGCCCGTGGGTCTCTTCTATCCTAATTTTTTTTTTCTGTAATTCCCTTTGTTTTCCACATCTGTGTCACCCCTGCAAGGCAACCCAGAACCTGCTGATAGCAGTGATTTAATCTCTATATTTAGTCATCTTTTATTTCTCCAGGTCTCTTTCTGCCAGTGGTGGGATATGTGCCGGTGATGCCAGACCTGAGTAAAGGATTTTATGGTTTTTTTCCAGATTGCCTGCAGTAAGATTTCTGTGGCACGTTGTTTCCCTGGCAGTTACTGATGGAGGGCATTTGTTCTCAGGTGAATTAGTGAAGTGGGTGCTAATCCAGCCCTATGCCTCGTAGGTATGGGGCTGTCTCCGTAGTAGGAGATGCCATGACTGGAGGCAAGGTTCTGCTGTGCTGCTCTGAGCAACCCCTCAGCTTGGTCTGGTGTTGTTGGGGGTCTACGCTTCAAGGTGGTGGGATGCAGCGTCCTTGGGAGGAGCTTGCCAGATAGGCTGCAGAGTCAGGTCTTGGCACAGATGTGTATCCTTATGCTTAAACGTCAGGATCTTTGCAGATTGTTGTCTGCCCAAGGATCGAGGATGCCCCGGTAGCGGTCCCTTCCGAGCACTGGACCAAAGAGAAGTAAAACAACTACCTAAAAGGAGGCTGTAGTGAGGCTGGTGCTGGTCTCTTCTCTCTAATTACTAGTGACAGGACAAGGGGAAATGGCCTCAAGTTGCGTCAGGGTAAGTTTAGATTGGATATTCGGAGGAAGTTCTTTCCTGAACGAGTGGTGAGGCACTGGAACAGGCTGGCCCGGGAGGTGGTGGAGTCACCAACCCTGGAGGGGTTTACAAAAAAAGTAGATCTGGCACTTGAGGCTGTGGTGTAGTGGTTGGGTGTGCTGGGATGAAGGTTGGACTAGATGATGGTTTGGGTTTTATGAGAAAGGGATGATGGGTGCTCTTCCATCTGTACCAAGTCCTAGACCTTTTTGAATCTCAGCCCTGTCTTAATGAGTGTTCTGGTTTCAGAAGGCATTTTTAATGCTTCACAATCTGGTTTTAGGGTAATAACTTGAGTCAGTGAGTGCCCTTCTGTTCTGAGTCCTGGTGCTGGGTTAGTTGGTGTCCGAGTAATCCTCTACCGAGTGTTACAACCTACTATATTGTTGCCAGCTTACTCGAAGTTTTGGGCGTTCTGCCTTGTTTTTGTATGGGCTTGCAGACTGATACGGATTTTCAGTGACTTGTTAACACAGGCAACAAAGTTTGCAGGGGTGAGTGGTGTATCTTTGTATCTGCTGCAGTGATTTATGTGAAAGGAAAGAGTAACTTAAATAAATTGTTCTGACTGGCCTGAAATATGAAGTCTGGCAGTGTCAGATTGGCTAAGCTTTGTAAGGAAGGGCCCAAAACGGGGACTTTTGGGAGGTCAATGAGATATCAGACTTGTATGAGACATTTTTAGTTTTAAGCTACCCTTTCGGCAGTCTCTGTCATGGTTAGCTGTGTCGTCTCACAAAGTTGTCCTTTACCTGCAGCTTCGCTGCTGGCCTGGCCACCATAGGAACAATGATTGGGGATGTGCCTTTTTCCTTTTCTTCATATGAATTCCTCCTCTTCTGCATTCTGTAATGGATTTTTTTTTTGTACTTAGATAGTTTTGT